CACGCTGCACTTGGGGTGGTTCTGTTGTGGTGCGTGTGTTCATGGTGAGGTTTTTGGGTGACCCTTGCGTTCTTCTTTTGCTCTTTCATTTTGTAGAGCTTTGTCCTGTGTTTTGCAGTGCTATGTGAGCACTTTGAATGAATTCGTAACAACCACCGCGTGGAAGAATTCTACTAAATGACTGTGACTGTGACCGATTTTTAAATTTCTGCCAAAAGACATCTGCGATTTTCAATTGCTTTTATACAAAATGCGAGTCTAGGCGGACAACCCCCTTCCCCATGGGCTGCGCTGACCTGGATCGATCTCCGGGAGTTCGTCAAGGGCATGCACAGACATTGGCCAGGGGCCCAGTCAGGGTTACGGTAACCCAAGGGCACCGCGGTTATTAAAAGGCCTGCTGGTGGAAAGACAGCAGGGAATCCTTTCTCCCAATAACCCCAAAATGTTCTGCCGGACGTAGCCCACTTTATTTTCGAAATTAAGTTCCATTTTTAGCTTTTTTACTCTAAACTTTTTTGACTGAAAGAAAATTCACCAGATTTTCTCAGTGTTTTACAACGATGTTGATCGTGGCATGGCGTTGCATTGACATGTCAAGCCATTCCTTGCCCTAGGAAATTCATCCTTTTTTGTAGAATCCGTCGGTGAATAATTGCATAAACGTTCTAAGCATGTGTGTTCGCAGTCCAGAAAGAACACCTACGCCCGTTGTTGCAGTCTTCATGGGCTGCGCAGTGTCGGCTTCGCAGCCAACGCTCGGCGCCGGTCAAGAAGTGAGTAAAAGCAGCCGCGCACCGAACAGTAGTGCTTTCGAACGCTTTATGAAATCAACTTGTACGCGTGTTATGTATCCCGTGCATCAAATTTCACCAGCGCAGCCTTCATCTCAATGCTCAGAACGTTTCAGCCCATGCAACACCACAAGCTCATGACGCAATGGCGTAATCTCTATTATCCATGTTGCTGAAACTGCTAATTTCGTTCAGAGCATCAGCTTCGAAAGAACACGACCGAAATTTCCTGATCAGGACCGGAATGACTCTTTCGGCTCAGCCCGGGGTCCTCAGCAGCTGCCATTCTGGCCATACGGAACAACGCCCCCCTGGTCGATCCGGAGGCCCTCAAAGGAACACACCATGTACTGCGCGGGTCCCCTTCCGGGGCGCGACAGGTCCCCGAGCGGGGGCACTTGGCACTGGATCGACGCAGCGGCCCTTACTGACGCAAAAGGACCCATCACTGGCGTAGGAAGTCCAATAAGTGGCAACGAGACACCAAGTTGGCTTATCTGCCTCCGGTTAAAACAGTGCAGAGGGACCCTCGCTGGGTACTGGGATCTTTGACTGACACAAGGCACTTCCACTATCTCAATGCAAAAGCGGAATTTTGCATAGTCATTTCTCACATGTCTTCATTGTGAAACAGTCCCCAACCAACACCAGACGTCTTTTGACATTTGGGGTATCGTGGTTGTCTCCGCTCAGGAAATGTACCCCTGGCCGACTTCGGGCCAGCTGTCGATAAAGGGTCCCCTGTTAGGCACCGTGGTCCCGTGACCATTACAGATGACCCTTCACTGTTGCAGGGGACCGACCAATGCAAGAAGCCTTCTGGTCGACATTTGTGGGCCCACCCTTGCCCCTGCTCGGGAAAGGGCCTCCTAGGGCCTAGACCGACACGGAATTAACTGTTCGGTATTGGTAGTTTCAGTCAGCTGCTATAGCACCCTCACCATCTCAGGGGCTCGTGATCGATGCAACAGGCCCTCTTATTGACATTTTGGGGTCAGAGATGGACCTCCTGGAGTATGACCTCCGGGCTGCCCATCTGACCCGCCGATCGGGCGCTTCGTCACGGGCCCCGTGAGCGTGGGTATACGGTTTCTCCTAAAAAAATAGGGACTTCGGGCCATTTATGGTGCCCTGGAATTTGTCATCATTTGAAAATTAAGGGTTTTCTGCCCTTTGCGGTGCCCTCTGGAATTGGGTGCCCCTTCAAAACCAAGCTTATGATGCCCCAAAAAGGAAGGCTTTTGGTGTCCTTCGCCCCGGGGGCTGATCCAAGATTTTGTTGGGGTGAAATCCAAAGAAACTGTGATGTCCCTTTATTTGGTGCTGCCCGAAACCAAGAATTCGCGGTCCTTTGAATGGCCCGCTTGAATTTGGTGCCTTTAGAGAACAAACGCTATGGTACTCCGAAATACATGTTTTGGTGTTTCTTCGCCGAATGACTGTCCAAGGATCTAGTCAATGGAAGGACGCAGACATGGTGTACCTTGGAATTTGTTGTCTCTTGAAAGTGAAGTTGCTGGGGCCTGCTTTCGTGCTACCTGGAATTAGGCGACTCTGGAAAACAATGGTTTTGATTCCCGGAAATAAAGGTTTTGGGGTCCCTTCACCAGCCGGACAAATCCAGAACTTTGTCAGGGTAAACGGTAAAGCGATTGTAGTGCCGGGGGATTTAAACTTCCTTAAACATACCGGCATCAGGCCCTTTAGTGGTCCGCTTTGATTTGGTGCCTTGTGATAATAAAGGTTGTGGTGCCCAAAAATATTTCAGAAATTATAAGGAAAGAAAGCTTTGGTGCCTTCTCTCCCGAGCGACCAATCCGATAATTCGTCGGGGTGCTTGTTCGTCAGGATGTCTATGCTGATAGACAATGAGATACTATGCTGCTTACAATGAGAAAATAAATGGTCCTGTGCCGGTCAGGGTCCCTAGCACCAAACGGTGGGCCCTCCAACCTAATTCCAACACGGGCCCGTTCAGCCAATTTGAGTTTGTGTGCAATTGTTGAACCATCTGCAGTGATCAGGGACGTTGTGTCAATTAGGGCTCCCCCGTCAAATCAGGGCCAACTGCTCGGGTCAGGAGGTCTCCCGCGTCAGGGAGGGGACCAATGGAATGTGCTGTGTCTCTTTAAGAACCTCCGGATAGACCAGGGGATCCCGCCCCGTGTCGCCACAGCGGCAGCCGGAAGACATCCCGCGGTGGAACGGAATGGCCCTTTAGCCCTTGACCGAGAACACTATGTTCCTCCTAGTGTTGCACTCAGCAGGGCTTCTTACCCAAAAAGAAGTAAGGGACCCCATTAGAGTTAAATAAAGTGGGTCGAAATGAGTTTAAAAAACAACAAGGTCACGCGTGTTTGCCTGAGAACGCTCATCCCTTCCCAGAATCGATGGGCGCAACAAATTATTTTTAAATGGCTTGAGCCTGCGCGCCCGAAGTGCCGGGAGCAAGGGCCGTGACCGTACGGGTTGCAATTTCCGTAAAAGCCAACGGCGTCGGTCACTGCAACTAACAACAGGCGGCGAGCGCCGTGAGCGCAAGAACGACCGTCATTAGATCATGGTTCCGACTGATTTTTTCGAGTTATTTGGTAATTTTTAAAGATCCCACTGGGCGTGCCTCTTTACAGCTTAGAGATATTCATCTGAACAGATTAACAGTTACAGCAACACGTTTGATTGAGACGTGTTGCTGTGAGTGTTCACGCTCACGTTCAATACACGTTCAGTAGAGATACTACCTTTACTCTTCCGGTTCCACCACCAGATCCAAGCACTACTTCGCGGTGGTGTAAAGGCCAGCCCGTCCTCATCATCAATCTAAAAATCGTACCAGTAAAACGTAGCCCCGACTGTGTTCTAAACGTGAGATTTGATGTCCTAAAGCTTTCGAAAATACATCTTTTAGATGAGTCATCATTTCCGTCCATCGGTTGCCTACAGCTTAGTATTAACCGTGAGACCGACGCTGCGTGGGCTATGGAAACTGCAACGCCTGGCGTCGGGTGTTTATTTTAAGATTTGAGTGCGTGCATGCTCAAAACTACGTCACATATTCGTATCACTAATCAATTCTGACTGAATGCTAAACATTTACAGAGAAAAATGTCTTGACTATCGTAATGCAAATTGTTGGCCCGTTTCGGTCTACAACTTACATTTGCGTCGGCACTATTATCTGTGGAGAATGCGGATGCAAATTCTGACGAGGATTCTGATTTCTACCGGTCAAGGAAGAGTCCACTGGACCATGATCAAATGAAGGACAGCGGGGATTTACTTCATGCAATGGTTTAAGGCTTGATTTTTCACTTTATTTACCACAAAATGCATGCACAATTTATCTCCCGGTAGCCTCTGGCTTCTATTCTCGACATGGAAGGGGTCATAGAAGGACAACATGGAAATATCGAATGAAATCATCCCCCCATAAAATATGGACCATATTAGGTGGTTTATAGGGGGCTCTCACTATCAAGGGGCCCTTTTTCATTCCTGTCTCCCCGCATTGCCAAGGCGAGCGGAAAATAACCGCTGCAGTCGACGCACTCCTTAAAAACCAAACTATTTTATCATACCATACCATTGTTAAGGCTCTGCCTGCGCGCCTGCACAGTACGGGCGCCTTGCACCTGATAACGCGTCACTAAACCCTTGGCTCTGTTTGACCTTTCGCGCTCCGCCCCCCGGGAGTCGGCGATGTAAGCAAGCGCATTAATAGTCGCAGTAGTAAGGGCGCCACGGCCACCTGCACCGATCAAACCCGCATGGCCAACAGACTTCGGAGCCGCTTGTTCCTGAGGCACCGTTTTGGACGCTCTTACATCCAGCGAGCGCATGCGCTATGGCGATGATGTCCACTCTGTAATGCCGATCAACATGCTCCAATGCCAGCCAGAGCTGATCCAGCCGGTGTCAGCTGACCCGGGGGGGGGGGGGGGGAGGGGAGGGGAGGGGCAGAAACAGGCCGTGGCCGGACGTGTCTGTTCAAATTGCGCTTTGACGGGGATTATAGCTACTGTGGGGCACGAAAGGCGAGGCGAATGACCTTACCGATATTGCCTTTACGCCGTCTCATTCATGACGGTTTGCTTCGCCAGCATTGTAGAGGGGGGGGGGGGGGGGTGGAGTGAGACACTCTACTCAAGGTCACTTCATGCAACATAGGTCGGCCATGCTCCAGTCATGCCGTATTTTCCGACGTACCTGTTGAAAAAGAGAATGATGGCGAAGATCCAAACCCCTAGCACGATGACGATGATCGCTATCTCTTCGTATGTGATGACATCTGGAGATCCTCCAAAGGAAGACGACACCAAGCCTCGTGTAACTGGAAGCACAGGGGGAAAAGTTTGCCATCAGCTTTGTATCAGATGATCATACCATGTGAACAAAGCAGGTCAAAAGATCGGCAACAGCTCCTCAAGCGGCCCCAGTCTGTTTAAGCCAGTCCCCAGTTGGCGAAGTTAGTCTTGCTACCACGATTTTCCAATATATCAGCCATATGATCTTAAAACCAAGCTATTGCTTTCATCGAATCATCCCGGTCGCCGTGAAATCAAACGTCCGTTCTCTCAGGAGTTCAAAAGGGCGTTTGATAGCGTGTCGTTTACGGTTGTTGCTAGCCAATGCTCAACCATAACATGGATTACTAGCACGGCTAGATCGGTTGGCTTGAAGGTATTAAAGGAGGCAGCATCGCATCAGGGAAGAATAATTCAGTTTGCGGGGCACGACTACAGCAGCAACTTTTGCCATGGACGGGTTCTGTCCATCTCGAGAACTGAAGATGTACGAGTCACCTACTACTTTAACGGTATCTAAAGGCGCCTTTACTAGTCCCTGGTCTTCAAACAAGCTCTTGTTAAGCGAATAAGGTACACTTAGGGTGCGCGACTGAAGTTTATTATTTACCGGCTTCGAGCCTTCGCGGAACAGCGAATACAACGGCCGAGCTGGAAAGGAATAGGCTAGCGTCTCGAAGTGCTGTGTTAGACATGCTAGAAAAACATCGTAATTGGCGGCGCGTTGGCGTCGTTGTGTGTCAAGGGCCTCCATAACGCAGTAGATACGAAGCAGACTAAAACAGAAGGCACGCAGCAGTGACAGCGCCATGTCAAGGCTTCTGGAAAGCTTTGTTTCAAGATATGTTCTAGATGCTCCCAACGCAAAACCCAGCCGGTATGAACACCAATGCCTCTGAGGCCATTTTTGGAACGATATTAAGTGTACTACTGCATGAACGTCTGATCACTTTGAGAGCAGCTTGGCAATATTCATACCCCAGAAACACTTTAGTTACTTCTGTCTTCAAAATACATTTATGTGGGTAAGAGAACCGTGTAGCTCACCAAGCACAAACCTTAGCCGTTTTTAGTCCCATGCGCATCTCGTGGTTTTCTGACCTTTTTTTCTCACTGGTGAGACACCCCACCATGCCGACTCATCAAAAGCTAAAAGATATTGATGCTTCCCCAGGGTCTCGAATAGCGAATTCCACTGAGCCGAAGAGGATCTCACGGGGCAGTCAGTGATCCACATACTGAGCCCGGCCCCTAATCCGCCCAGGTCCGGCGACGGGCCGTCCCCAGGCGACGCCGGGCCTCAGACAGCAAGCTGCCGGGAGCCGCTCTTGCCCTCCAGACACTGATCTCTTGTTGTCCGGGGCAAACCACGGGGATCAGAATACGGCGGCGCGCTCCGCAGGACGTAAAAGCTCCTTTTGACGTCGCGTTCGGGCAGTCTGAGCCGGCATCGGCCCGTCCAGCTGATTGACGGAGGTATCTGATTACTCTGCCGAAGGGTCTCATGTGGGACTCTGGCAATGTAATGGACTGTCTGGGAGCTGGAGCTCAACCACTCAGCTGCGTGTGGAGAATACGGAGGGAAGTTCGTATAACGCGTTCGCTGGAGCAAGCACTTCAAACGCCAAATGTTAAAATTTGACTTATTTAAGTCGAAGTTCGTGTGAGCACTGCCACAAACGTCATGCTGCGATTCCCATTCATACACGTCAATAATCAGGTTACATTGTAGCCTTCCGATGCTGATGCTTCGAACCAGGATTTAAGCTTTCGAGGCGCAACGGCTTGCAGCAGACAACAGCCCGGTCATGACACTGAATACATTCATGAACCATTGACAGTGTTGCGGACGAACCATGCATAAATAAATAATTTATATGGTTAGAAGATAGTCACACATGACATTGCTAAGCATGGTTTTATAACTTGGGGCTTAGTCACACATAATATTGTCAAGCATGTTTTGTACTTCGCGGATTAATCAATCGAATGGGGGATTTTTTGTGGATTACATGGACTTTGTCAGCAGTCAGTTTGTCAGTTGGGCATCACTTGAAATATTTTGTTTTAGAAATATGGCAGCGGGAGTTTGCAGCGACAGTTTCCGGACAGGCCCGTAGACCGCGGTTGTCAACAGGCGCCCTCGCCAGATCTTTGGGCGCGCATTTGCGGATTTGCATCGTACTAAGGCTAAGTTGTGGCAGTATTCGTGCTTTTTTACGCCTACTCTTTCAAGGTTTGCACGAAGTTCGCGGGCGGTCGATACCCCAGACACATTCGCGAAACTTCACAATCTTCGTTGACACCTTCATCGGGTGCGACCGGGGAATTTACACGCCTTCGACCGTTTTCAAAACCTTGTATAGGTGATACACATAAAGACATTCCGAAGAACGTGGAAGACGAGAAGCAGTGACAGATCAGTGGCACATATCACAATGCTTGTCATAAGTCGACTGTGTGAGATTTCAGTCCCATTCACCGAGCTGTCCATAAAACGAGTATGCTTCAAGCTACCTGTTTTCTTTTTTTTTCTCATTCAACTATGGAATCGTGCTTTTCATAGAAAAGAACCCAAAAACTGTAACAACTTTTCTAAAGTCAACTTCGGAATCTTTGAAGATGTTAGTTTCACAAATAAGAACTAATTTTCACTGTAATAGAGTGCATCGTACGACATTGGCAGCCACAGGTTTTCCCCATCCAAAAAGCATTCCGCGAAACTATTCAAGAAAATGGAATTTCATTAAAAATTGTACCTCGTCACATGGCCGAACAAATCTGAGAGCGATTTACGAAACCATATGTGAGAGAAAGGCACGTGGTCGATGTTAGGCTTGGCCGGTGCTACATGTGCCAGTCGTCTTCATATTCCACAGGTCAGCATCTGCAATACATTAAAGCCTGCGTGCATTACGGTATGCTCTAAGTTTGGAAAATGCAGGGAGCTTGCCCAGCGTCTATAATCTACCATGCCGACTACGGTATACTGATGATGGTCTGAACCAATGTCTTAAGTAAATAAATTGTTCCAATTATGAGGTGAAATGTGTGGGATCAACGACCTTCAGTATACCAGGAACGGCGTTGTAAACGATGTTGTTATGCCAGATAACGAATATATTGGCGGTACTCAATATTTTGAGCCGTGCTCATTCTCTAGAATAACTTCGGACTACCTTGAACCGATGGTTAACATTCACTGGAAGAAAGTGCATAGTGTCTCTCGACCGGTTGAAGTTCATAAAAATGTCACTGTTGAATATGGACATCGCACGAAATATTGGGTCAACATCATTCTTATTTAGCATCACAACATCGTTTAACCAGGACTTCTTGGAATATTGAACATAGTTAACCTAATGAGACATTCAACTTATAAGGCCAAGAAATCAGAACTTGAAGGTATTTCTAAATTGTTTGAATATCTGAAATCGTTCACCAGGCGTACAATAGTTTCGCATGCAGCCGGATGAGTCGAATACCCGGGACCGCTGGTTAGCTTTACATTGGAGGAAGTGCATGGTGTTTCTCGACCGTTTACATGTTAATGAGAACTATTTAGCGGGGGAAAATGGAACTAAAAAAGCATAAGTTTTTTTGTGGAACGATTCCGATTGCTACCCAATTTCAACGGCGAGACGATTCAGACAGCATCCCATTCTGAGCGGTATTGTGCCCGCTTCGGGCGGGATCCAGCACTAAGCCCGCACTCCCATTGGTTATGGCGCTGATGACGCGTATTGACCTCATCGTCTTTGTCCTGGTCTTTGTTAGAATATCCCTGTATTTTCAGTACAGCACCAGGCTCCGTACGCTTCACCAGTTATCCGTTAAGACACGTGCTGTTGGTCATTTAGCTTGCCATGAATTCAAATGCAGCATGGATTTCCACTTAGCTGCTTGTCCCGCCTAGACGCCTGCCGAATCTGGTGCAATTCAGTCAGCTGGGTAGCGCAATAATCACTCCAGCAATCTCCGCCCCTCGCGGGCTGTAAGGAGTCTCTCACAAAGGTCAATGAGTAATTGGCGTGAGCGCCCCGCGTGCGGCTGTACCCTCAGTGCGCGGAGCGTTGTCGCCGGCGTCGGCTGCCGGCTTGCTGAGCTTGGGCGAGGCCTCCGGAGCTCGACCGTGTAGGGGGAGCGCCTCAGGGCCGCTGCAGTTACGTGCGGGGCCAACGCGCTGAGCTTGGGCGCGGCCTCCGGAGCTCGACCGTATCGGAGAGCGCTGCAGGGCCACTGCAGTTGCGTGTCGGGGCCGGGGCCGGAGCAGATCCACCCACAGACGGTCAGCGAGTGCCTCCCAAGCGCCCTCCGACGGGGTGATGGTCCGGCGGAGGCCGGTCAGGACGCCCGTGAGTCTGGACGCCGGACAGGACTTGATAGGAACAGCCAGTATGTCGCCAGGCACTCGATCGCCCAGTCGGTGCTTGGGGAGATCTAAATCGTGCGGCAATGCAGAGCGTTGACATCTGTGTTATAGGGTCACAGACCTGATCACCAATGAACTGCAGCTGCGGGGAAAGGCAGAGAAGGTTGCTGGACAATTTTGAGGAGAAAACAACACCTTTTGATTGTCGTTTTGCATGCGCTTACCTTGGCTAGGGAACTGCTACACGTGCTGATACTCAATATCTTAGTGTGGCGTCGCCCAGCTCCTTTAGACCATAAGGGTCATAAGGTAATCATAGTCGTAGTCCCAGGCATTTCCCAGTTATCCAAAACGTTGAAGTATCTTATTGTCAATAAAAAAGACTATGTGTTTCCATTTGACAAAAAGGGTAGTTGTAAGCTACAAATTTGGGACGACCGTCGGTCTTTACGGATTGAAATGGACTGCGTGATGGCAGATCCTGTTTACAAGGTGTTGTCCATCTCATCCATAAGCAACCGGTAAGTTATATATTAGGTTTGATTTATCTTTACCGCGCTGGTAGCAAGATATTCTTCAAAGATAGGCAGAAACATCAAAGGTGGCTGTGCTGTCGACAGAAACAGCGCAGGATCAAATGTCT